AAAAACACAAAAATCAAAACTCAACTAATATGACTGTCTCTGAGTGTTTATACTATACATTTTTTTCTTTTCTTTTTGTGTGTGTTTTAGTGAGTATTTTCTTTATCATGAAAAATAAAAACAAATGTGTTTATAAAAATAAGTCAAATAAGTGAGAGGAGTCTCTAACTCCTAGAAAGTTAGGTTTGTGTGTAGGAGGTAAAAGCAAGCACAGTCTCAGTGGGTGTCTGGTCCACAGGAAGTATCGTCTCTTCCATATTCTGCTTTTCTAGAGCTCCTTTTGAAGATGCAGTTGAGCTGATGAGAGAAACCCAGAAGATGCCATCAGCCATAGCTGTTCTCTTTCCTTCCAGGTGTTGGTGGTGGATCAGTTAAGCATGAGGATGCTCTCTTCCTGCTGCAAGATGACAGACATCATGACCGAGGGCATAACAAGTGAGCCCCGTGTTCTCTCTGTGCCTGCCCAGTGCTTGTGTCTTCTCTCTAGCAGCTCTGCTCTTTCCTGTTGATTATTGTCTCGTTTGACTTTAGCAACCAGTGTGGTAGGACTGTAAGCTCCTGAGGGGCCCAAGGCCATCTCACTCATCACCGAAACCTTAGCACCTAGCACAGTGCTCGGTGCTCATCAAGTATCTGGTAAAGGAATGCTGGAAAAAATGTTAAATCGAGGTGGTGCTCATAGCTCAGTGGGTAGGGTGCTGGCCACATACACCAAGGCTGGTGGGTTCGAACCCAGGCTGGGCCAGCTAAAACAATAATGGCAACCGCAACAACAACAACAGCAACAAAAATAGCCAGCTGTTGGGGTGGGTGCCTATAGTCCCAGCTACTTTTGGGAGGCTGAGGCAAGAGAATCGCTTAAGCCCAAGAGTTTGAGATTGCTGTGAGCTGTGATGCCACGGCATTCTACCCGTGGCGACAGCTTGAGCCTCTGTCTCAAATACACACACACACACACACAGAGAGAGAGAGACACAAAAGGTTAAATTGAGGGAAAAAGGCATCCCACACAATAGAACAAAGTTTTGAACAGATAATAAAGGAAGAAATCCAAATAGCCGAAAATTGCCCACTAGTGGTCAGGGAAGTGCAATTCAAGCCAGAGTTAAATACCACTAT